TACGATATTCAGTGGGTTTTCAGTCCGATTCCAAGTTCGTGCTATTCGATTTCGATTCCTATTCCGAATACGACAGGTACACAGGAAAAATGGCAATTTACGTGGCCGTAGTTTAATCCAAAAACACGTCCTCCAGGCAATAATTCGGTAACCGTAGTTGCCTGACCAAGTGCATACTTCACGATTAAATCATTCACCCTGCTCACATGCCAAACCGTTCCAAAGTCTCTGTTTCTCTCTCTCGCTTTACTAGGCTGACAAAACGCTTACCAAGGACAGTGAACACCATGCTCTCGGTTAATACTATTTTCTCATATAAACATTTACAATTCACATAAAGCTTTATGCACGCACACATCATGCGAACACATTCCAAGCATCGGTGGTTCTTTACACGCGGTACAACTAACACTCGACAGCGGTAACTATTATGATCGTGTTAACTGTCGTATCACAAACCCAGTCCCATTCAATGTTGAATAAAGTCGCATTTGTCTCTTGATCTGTTAAATCACTTATGGACAGTTTAACGGTCAATACAACGGAATATTGGCTGTGACCCACTTAATTTGCAGTTCAGTTTATACAAATAATAAGCATACATCTTTGTGCGGCGGTTTAGGTTGCTGTCTTTTGGTCAAACAGGTCAATGAGGGAGGAAAGGTGAGAGTGGATTTTATGAACAGTACATGGTATCAAGATAGAGAATTCGGGCAGAAATTGAGATGTACGAATACCAATGTTCACGACAGCGATTCCATCTAACCGGATAAATTATGCGTGCCACAACATATGGAGAAAGAAATATGAAAACGGTTCAAATAAGGGTCTCGTAACAGGCGAGCCACTGGCGCCGGTTACCAGCCACGTCAGCCAGAGTCTCAAATCATAGATGTTCTCTTTCTTGGGACCCAACCTGGGGGCCTAAAGCGTCCCGCCATTGTCGGTTTTGAGTTTAACACCTTTATCGATCGAGAAAATGTGACGTAGCGTATGTAGTCAACGCAGCTCCAAGTGGAATTCAACGTATTCTTCACTGATATTATGCTCTCATCCAGACGAACCGGTCAATGATCAACTACGTGATCACCTTGGGTGCAACGGAGATCAGACTAACCCCTTGGCGATTGGAGCAATCGTGAAGGGGGGCTCTTTTTGAATACGAGCGAGACGTCCGCAAAACTATATTCGGGATGGAATGAATTCAGTATTCCAGATGATTTGGAATAAGATTGCGGCTACGCTCGGTATAAGTTTCGTATATGGTTTTACTGACACATGGGTTTTTGTTACCGATGCCTCGAATGAATCGAAAAAGTTTATGAGCATTACCGGAACCAGTGACTTCTACACTTGACTAGTTCCATCTTGGAAGCGCGTCGTGCTCATCAGATCTCTCGGTCCTGTTTGAGGAACCGTTCTGGTTTAGTACTAAGAATCCTACGAACAATGTTGTGTTGATTACCTGGGGAGATGCTTCGACCAGTGTCAAGCAGTTCGAGAGGACATACGGAAACCCAGTGGTTAACGGTGCTTCTGGTGAAGCTAGATGCTGTGGTGGCAAATTTATGCATGGCGTTAAGGGTGTAAACCCACTGGCTAACAATGTTTGAAGATGAAAGACTGTCTGTCTGGTAAGCGGTAACCAAGTCTGGGTCGGTCAGTTACATCAAGTGCATTCAAGTGCAGAGCACGACAGCCACATCAGTCTGAACAGTGGCCTCCACCATCGGATCCCCTGAGAGGTGGAGGGTGAATGGTTTTGTAAAACCGGGGAAGGTGAAAAGAGGTGCAGTACGCCGCTCGAATCCTGTATGCACGTCTCAGTAAGGCAGCGAACGTCCACAGCAAGCGGTTTTACTGTGCGAGCAAGTGTTGCCTGGGCCTTAAACTTACATAAGCCCTCGAACGTTGAGAATAGTTAACTTCAGCTATGACCGGGGCGCGAGTACTGTTTTCTGAACGACCTGAGCCGCTGCTTGTTTCTCTCGTATTTGCACAAGATTGTGG